TCCTTACTTGGAAAAATGTTTCTTATTAGTAAGGGATTTTTCTGTCAATAAAAATATGTTTATCTCTATTGGGGAATCCCTTTCACTTGAAAACATTTCTCTCGGGTGGGAATTTTCTCTCTTCTTAGGAGATTTAGTCTTTTAAAATTTGATTTGTGAGAAATTTGAAACAACCATCCACGTATTCTATTGATATTTTCGTCAACAGATTGGAGTGATTAGACATATTTTTTAACAGAATCATTTTAAGTTGTGATATGATTTTTTTATCTAATTCTTATACGTAAAAGTATGTTTATCTAAAGGAGTGTCTTTGATGCCTAATTGTTTTTATATTTTTCTTAGTATAAAGGAGCTAATTTTCTAAAATTTATCGTGATAATAATTCTGTTATCAGAACACATCTTTAGGGACTTGATTTTATTTCTCTTTGAAATTTAATTTCATAAATACGATCATTTAGGAACTTAGGTTCCAATCAAGTTGTGATGTTACAACATTTCCATTGAGTGAAAACATCTTTGGTGAAATTTTACTCACATCTTTTCAATTACATTTCGTTGGACTAGTTTCTAAGGCGTGTTTCTCGATTTGCGAGTTTAAAGGGATGGTGTTTTATTCAGATGTTCTTAAAAACAATTAGTATAGTTATAGAAGTATTATTTTATCTAAAACCATAACAATCTTTAAGCTTTAGATGTCTAATTTAATTTATTAGTTTTCTAACTTTTAATAATTAAAGTGTGATTGGTTGAAATGGGCTTAAAGAGTTACAAAATTGATGATTATTTTTGAAGGTGATTAGCAATTCTTTTAGTAACAGATTTAGTCATTATTGCAAGCAGTTATGTTTAGTTCTAATTCTCACGAGTACACTATAAGTTCTCAAAAATTCAATGACTTCTCTTAGGTATGGTCTTAATATACAAGTCTTTGTTTTCTCACACCATCCATTTACTCTTTTTAGTTTAAAGAGAAAAATCACTAGGGTATGGTGATTGTGGTTCATCACGCTTCTGCTGTGCTACTTTGATGAGAAACATATTGAAATTTATAAATAGTTGGATGTGAGGATAGCTCTTACAGCTATACCCCTCACCTACGAAATTTTTTTATGAGTACTAGAACTTTTAAAAATGAGGATTTTAGTTAGTCATTATTTGATTTTAGTTCCTAGGGTGATAGTTTATTTTCTAAGGATATAGTTATTTATTTTTCTAGGATTCAGAACCACTATTAGAGTCTCTAAACAAAGTTGGAAAAGAATTTTGGAATAGTGAGGGTATTTGTTTTCCTAGAGGGATGCAACGAGAATTTTTAGAAAAATTAAATCGTCATTTGGTTCCTATCAATCTAAGATTTGTTATATGGAGCGTATTTATTGGGAGTTTCTCTTATTTTGGAAATTTCTCCATATTGAAAAAAAATTTTACTTGAGGGATTTCTCTTATTTAAGGAATGTTGCTCTCGTTTAGAAAATCTCTCTGCTGTGATTTTTTTTAACTAAGGAATCTTCCTGATATGCAGGAAAATTTCTCACACTAGAAAATTTCCTTCCTTCTAAGGAATTCTTGTCGTTTGGGAAACTCCCATTTAAGAGATTTCTGGTGCCACTTTGGGGGCTTCCACCAGGATTAGAACTTTTCTCCCAATCAGGACATTACCTCCCAATGGAGAAGTATTTCTCACTCTTGATAAATCTCTCAAAAGAAAAAAAAATGAAAAATGAAAAAAAGAAAAAGAAGAAGAGGAGAGGGAAAGGCCATGGGGAAGAGGAAAGAAGAAGAAAAAAATAAAAAAAATGAAGAAGAGAAAGGGGGGGGGGGGGGAGAAAGAAAAAAAAAAAGAAAAAAAGAAAAAAAAGAAGGAAAAAAAAAGAAAAAAAAATGAAGGAAGAAAAAATGGAAGTGTGGTGACCAATATGATGTTGGTGCGTCGCATGCGATAACGTGCACTAATTTGATCATCAACATGTAGCACATTCAGTGACACGAATGTGATGGCGTGTGGTGACGTTGGCGATCGGGACTGCGTGTTCTAAGCTAAAATCTGTTCCTAATTTTGTGTAATATAATTTTTAAAATTATTCATAATTTAATATATGTGTTTTTTTTATCATAAACAAAAAAAAATATATGTTTCTGAGAGGACCGTAGATCGAGGTAGAAAGGATTCCCAAAGCTTTTTTATCACACAATTGATAAGAATTATGTGTATTCCATATAGAGACATAAATTATATATTTATGTAAACATGTATATGTATAGTGCATTGTGTGTGAATGTTTAAATATATGTGTGATATAATATAAATATAATTAATTTATATTTATTTGTGTTTATGTAGTGTGTGTGTGTATATATATATATATATATACGTTGTTACACATATGTGTGTATATATAAAAAAAATATACAACAAATGATATATGAATTGATGAGAACAGAGTTGATAAGAACATAATTGATAAGAATAAATACATGAATAAATATATATATGGTATGTTGTGTGTGATTGTGTATACATATTTAAGTATGAACATGTGTGTGTGTATCGATAGGGATTGTATGTGTAAATATAAATATATATTTTGTGTGAGACATGTACTAAGGGTACATGTCTGTATTGTAATATATGTGTGTGTATTAATATGTATATACATATGTAATATATGTGAAATGTATAACGAGTGTGTGTACGTGTAAATTTGAGTACACTGTACTTGTTGTGTGATTTGGTATAGTTGCATAAGAAATCTGAGTATCCTGTGCTTGTTGTGTAATCTGGCACAGGATGATTCAGAAAGTGATTTGAAATATATACCCCTTAGATGTAATGATATCGTGTATTTTATGTGTATGTGTGTTTGTATCTATAGAAATTAAGATCTTAAGTATGAAATAAGTCAGTTAGAAATGAGAGAGATTTGGAAAGAATGTAGAGTATAAAAACACCGAATACTTACTCGTTTAGTCTGAATCAAGAAGGAAAATGTGTGTGTGTGACTAAAGTTCATCAGGAATGGTGAACCTGCACATGGATAGTGTTTGAAATCTAGTCCATACGTAGATAGGTATTTGTGAATGGGTCACTTAGCAAACGTAACTGTTGTGGTCAATATAAGATTGTGTGTCCTATCCATACAATGGGAGGATCTTTTTTGCCTCTCCTTGATGACAATATAAATGGTATCGCGCGATGAAATGTTAGATGTGATATTTCGAGTATAAGTATTATTTGAAAGGACAAAAGAATTAGATTATAAGAGTGAGAATTAGAATATATTTTGTGTGATGATTTATTTTGTTGTGTATTTTAATTGTAATGTTTTGTTTGATGCTTTCTTGATAGTAAGTATTATTATATTTTATATATTGCATGAATGTATGTACGTAAGTCTTCGTTATGAAATTTTTTTCTTACTGAGCTCGTGAATCTCACCCCAATTCACCATCATTTAGGTATGAGGAAGTTAAAGATCAATGGAAGATGACGAAAAAAAACTTTATTAGTTTTATTTTAATATTGTAAATTAATTTAGATGTATCAATTATTTTCAAACAATTAATTATTCTATCACAAGAGATGTATTAATAAAGTGTAGTTTTACTGTATATTTAATATTTATTTGTTCTATTGATTGAAAATATTGTGCTAACGTCCGTACTCACCGTTGGGGTTCGAGCTGTTACAGAAGAGTTTCACAACAATAATATTTTGTTGTATTTTAAAGTAGCATTTTATAGTTTCTTATTTGATAATCTAAAAGATGATGATTATCTATATATTTTAGTTTCAAAAGATATAAATATAAAATTTGTTGAATGATTTTGTTCTAATTTATTTTATTTTTAAATTTAGATTGTTTATTTTTATTTTATAAAAGTAATATATTTTTCAATTTTATGTTTAAATATTTAACATTAATTAAAATTTTATTCAATTCTCGAATTATGAACTCTTATAGATAAAAATATTGGGTGTATTCGTATCAATAGAGTTGTACCTACCAAATTTGTTATTGTGTGCTTCCACTTCCAACAGATCAATCAACATAATTACCAAAGAATAAAAAAAAAATTACTTTTTTTGGAAATTAGAATTAGATGGAAGCAACACAATCACAAATTTGGAGTTGATTGTATGATAAACGATGCTAAAAGTATATTAAACATTATGAAATTAAAAATAAAATTAATATATTTGATTCCTTCCCATCTGCCATGTCTTATGGAGATTACACAGATGAAATATTTTTTAGTTGTACGTGTTGAGGCATCTTTGTTTACTGCATTTTCTGCTGGCTTAACGAGAAGAAAAATTCAGGAAAAATACTCGGCTAATTTCTCTCCACAGTTGACACGAAGCCCTACTTAAATCAATTGACCAAATCTCTCTCCCCTGCAACCCTCGCTCTTCCCCTATAAATATTCTTTAAGACCTTGCTTAATTTGAACGCGCTCTTCCATATACATTTACCTTCTTTCTTTTTCTCTTACAATCTCTTTGTTTTCCAACAATCACGGTAAGCTTCACTCTTTTTTTTTTTTTATCTCTAACCCATGAACGATTTTTCTTTTCTAGTTTTTCTCTGTATTTTATACTTCTCAAGACTTGTGCTTTTCATCTTATCTTTTCTGGGTTGTCGTGCCAAGTTTTCAGGCGCTAGTCCCGTTGCACAACCTTATAACTTCTTAGATTTAACTCTTGCATAGATGTGATGAACTTGGAAGCAACCCCCTTGTTTGTAATCTTATATGTATCAATGGATTTATGATGCACAAGTTATGGAGTGCCTTTCAACTCCCAAATCGATCGTGCAGAGTTATCATGGAACCACCCTCCCGATGGCTTTACATCATTGGCGAAAGATCGTTACTTTTTGGTCTTGTTTTCCTTCATTCAGTTTTCCATGTGGTGATTATTGGGTTCATAATTTGATAATGATATCGTTTTAGGAGAATGATAGCCATCTTTTAGGACAATTGATGGACCTGGTTATTGGGATTTCGCCTGTAATACTTGATGCAGGATCGTATTATAATTTTCTTATATCTAGCGTATTCTGGGTTTTTCTAAGCTTCTAACCGTTACGTCCAAAAATTGGGCACTTAGGAACTATGAACTGATAATAAATCATTCAAATGTTGGAACTTGTGAACTTGATCAACATATGTAACTTTTTCTTCTTAATAATGTTTAGAGATGGGTGACAAGGCCAATGGAAGTGAAGTTGAAGAAGTTCAGCGACCAGCTCCTCGCCTCAATGAAAGAATCCTTTCATCTTTGTCTAGGAGATCTGTTGCTGCACATCCTTGGCATGACCTTGAAATTGGTAATTTCACATTAAGTTGGTTTATCATATTTGATGCTTGTGTAGTTTTAGAAAGTAGCTGATGATGCTACTGAACATTTTCTGGAGGACCTGGCGCTCCACAGATCTTCAATGTTGTAAGTATACCTTAATGAAAATCAGTAGAAGATCTTATTGGAATTATGTTGATAATGAAAAAGAAAATGAAAGCTTAAGACATATTTCTCCGCCAATTTGATTTTCTGGCATCAGATCCTTTGCGAACCAACAATTGTTATATCTTTTGTTTTTTCTTAATGCGTAAATGTTCTTTCGAGGAGCATCACATATGCAAACATGATAGGGATTCTAATGCAAAATGTTTTAGTGACTAATTTAATTTCCAATGAACGGTTTGTGAAGTTTGTTGAGTTCCAAGAAGAACGGGATATGTCTATTCTATTTCTTGAACTTGTTAAAATTTTGCAGGTAGTTGAGATAACAAAGGGAAGTAAGGTTAAATATGAACTTGACAAGAAAACAGGACTTATCAAGGTTATGAACATCTGTTATTTTCTTCTAGGTTGTTCACTTCATATGTGAATTTTCTGACAATTGACGATTCCTCAGGTTGATCGAGTTTTATACTCTTCGGTGGTTTATCCTCACAACTATGGTTTCATCCCACGCACACTGTGTGAAGATAATGATCCCTTGGATGTTTTAGTTATCATGCAGGTTATACTTCATACCTTTTTTTAGGAAAGTACTTTATAGTTACTTAATATTAATTTCAAGGGAAGCCAGATCTGACCTTTTAGTATTAGTTGATGAAAATATTGTGTTGCCAAAAGGATTGAAGTTTGTTTAGTTTTATATACTTCCTAGTTTTATTTTCATCTTTACATTCTGTTAACTGATTGTAAATCATGTTTATAGTCTTCAAAAAATTACAAGAAAATATTGGGTAGTCATATTTGTGGAGCACATTATATATTTGAGCTGAATGTTCGTAATCATAAATTGCAAATTCTTAATTCGTTCGTTTTGTAAATAGGAGCCAGTTCTTCCTGGATGTTTTCTGCGAGCCAGGGCCATTGGACTGATGCCCATGATTGATCAGGTGTGCTTTTGAAGCTTTATTACAACATTGTTATTTACCAGTTCAGTTTGCTGGATAACTATATAGTTTACTGATCAGATATTCTTTTGAAGCTTTATCACTAATTGTCATGTACCAGTTCTTCAATGTGCGGGGATAACTGTATTTATCTGATGAGTACTCTATTTCTGTAACCCAGGGAGAGAAAGATGACAAGATCATTGCCGTTTGTGCTGATGATCCGGAGTACAAGCACTATACTGACATCAAAGATCTACCCCCGCATCGTCTTTCTGAGATCCGTCGATTCTTTGAAGACTGTATCCTTTTCAAACTTTACTGATTTAAATGACATGATTTCATTTAAAGCATGAGTATTGGTTTCTTAACATATTGTGCAGATAAGAAAAATGAGAACAAGGAGGTGGCTGTTAATGACTTTTTACCTTCAATGACTGCAGTTGAAGCCATTCAATACTCGATGTAAGTTGTCTTAACAATCAAAGAGGTTTTAAGGCAGAGTTTTGCCTTGGCCCTAAGGAAAAAACTAATATACAGTCAGGAAAGTGGAGCTTTTATATCAAAACTCAAAAGTCATGGCTCGTCTGCCTAGTAATTGTCTAAAGTTGACAACTTCCACCATATTAGTATCTCTCATCTAGTTTCATTGTAGAAGTGATAATTCGAGTTTGAATTTTATCCTTACCTTACGAACAAAAATATAGCTTTTCTAACTCATTGAGGTTCTTTGGTGCAGGGACCTTTATGCAGAATACATTCTACACACCCTGCGGCGATAGACACACCGGTGATGGTCCAATGATATTTTAACCTCAAGCAAAAGGATTTGGAATAAGTTGTCTTTGATGTGAAAATTTACTTTTGTTAATTTATGAAACCTTGATGATCATTAACGCACTTGGTATTCTCAACAAACTTTTTGGATTGATGCCTGTTGATGATCATTAGCACTTGATCATTAGCACTTGGTATTATTCTCAACAAACTTTTTGGATTGATGCCTGTTGATGTTTAAGAAAAACTCTAAGCTGAGATATAATGAATATTCTTTCACCAGATAATCAATCAAATTCTTCAATTAAACATTTGATATTTCAATTTCTGTATTTAAGTTTCTTGACTTTTTATTGTTTTAGAAACTTAGTATCTCAATTAGTTTACTCATTAAAATAAATCAATATGGACAAGTTGATCACCATGGAATGTTTATAAATGTAAAGTAATAAGACTCAAATTTATTTAATTGAAAATCTTACTAATTCATAGATAAGTTTAAAATTATATCATTTTTAAAATATTCAAATTTAATTGCCTTAAGACGATGTTAAATAAAGAGATCGCATATTCTGCTCTTACCCAAAGTACAGATTTTTTAAGTGAACTACATTTTGCAAGTGTAATATCTCTGGATACCCAGGTTTTCTTAGTGAGGAACAAGCAGGGGATGGACACAGGCTTAGGAGGAGTCGGAAACTGGTTGCAACTTACGGAGTTACCAAAATTGAACTCCCTTGATGGTTAATAAGTCTGCTTTCACATTAATTAAACCTAGTAAGCACCTGTTACAATTTTGTTTGACCAAATTGAAATGAAAAACCTATAACCTAGATATAATTCCAGTCTTAAATTGAACTAGAAGGAAACAAAATATTTGGATGGCAATATTTAACAGGGTTGCTCCTATCAAGAATACCATTTATTAAGAAGTTCTAAGAGTAGGACTGCAGCAGAGTCCTTGGCCTTCTTCACACTGGGCATAGGTTCTCCTATGCATTCATCAGTCCATCCCTTATCCGCGGTATTCACACGAACAGCAAATGTAAACCTCTTTGCATGGGCAGGACCACCCTCATTGATACACCTGAAGAAGGATCATACATACATACATACATATAATTATC